GTACAGGGGCTTTCGTAGGAAGAATAGAAGAGAGTTTGCTGGTATATTGTAATGGTGTACTAACAAAGGGGCGGTATCACATTAAAGCGGGAGAACCGCTGAATCAGTGCTCTCATACCCTAAGCCATATTTCCTAATAGCCTCACCACTGATGCCAATGGTGTGATTTAGAATTTGGGCGACCGAGATCGAGACTCCAAATAATAACAATCCTTGGTAGTATTTAGGGTTTAGGGGTTTAGGGGTTTAGGGTTTAGGGTTTAGGGTTTAGGGTTTAGGGTTTAGGGTTTAGGAGTATTAGTCTGAGTATTAGGGAGAGCCCTGGAAGGGGATCCTTCTTAACCCTACTTTCGGCCCTCTTCAAAGGGTTTAGGGTTTAGGGTTTAGGGTTTAGGGTTTAGGGATCTCCAAGGGTCCCCCTATCCCTAACTCCTAAACACGTATACATGCCCTGCACCCTAATGCTTCAACAGCCTGAAACCGAAGCCACAAAACCTTCAGAGGCCAAAGAGATGTGACTTTCGGAAACTTCGGGGCCCACATATGGTTTACCTGGACCCTGAAGAACCTACCCTTGTAGAGATCCTTATTATGATTTCTTCATATAAGTCCTCAAAAAAGTAGGGTTTTTGGGGGTTAAGGTAGGGCTTAGGGCTTAGGGTTTGGATCTAAACAGCAGGTGCGTCATCATGCCCATGGATTTCAGAAAAAAGTTTCCGTTGCCCTACGTTGGGTCCCAGGTACCTATGAAGTAGATAAGTCCCTAAAGTACCTGTATAGAACCACCCTTTGAAGGCCTACATATCTACTGCACGGGTATATACATGACCTGAAGCTTTGCCAAAGTCTGAATTACAGCCCTTCCCTAAACCCTAAACCCTAAACCCTAAACCCTAAACCCTAAACCCTAAACCCTATATCCTAAACCCTAAACCCTAAACCCTATATCCTAAACCCGAAACCCCTAAAACATGTACCTACACTCAAGGCGAGGGCCTCGAACGGAAGGAAGCCGCAGACCAGCGCAAAGAGTATGACCCCACAGCTCCAAACGTCCACCATCGGTGGGAAATACCTGGGGGTTTCCCAAAATTGGGGTACCTTCTTTTGGGGTCCTTATAATAGGGATCCTATTATTTAGGGTACTATATTAGGGTCCCCTATTTTCGGAAACCCTCACCTTAGCTTAGGGGTTTGGGGCTTCGAGTTGAGCATTGAGGGTATCGGATTAGTATTTCAGGGGATAGTCCCTGAACCCTAAACCCCTAAACCCATAAACCCCAAACCCCTAAACCCCTGGTATTCAGCGCCCGTCAGGGTCTATGAGTCGAGGTGGAGCTTGCAGAGGTTCGGCAAGCAAACCCAAACTCAAAAACCCTACAGGGTTTCAGGGGTTTCAGGGATTTACGGGGTTAAGGGCTTAAGGGGTTTATTGGGTGTAGGGTTTTGGGGAAAGGCGTGTAATGGGCTTTGGGGGTTAAGGCTTGGCGCCCATTTTACCGAACCTAATCTAGGGCTGTTTCGTATGCTTTTTCGGGATTACAATATGGATTGTAATGTTTAGAGCCCCGAGAGAAAGGGGAGGGGGTTCATAAATTAGGGGTCTCAGTCTAGGTTTAGGAACTTAATCTAGGCGTGATGAGGTGTTCTCGGATAAACTTTATATAGGGTTGGGAGTTGCCGCTTAGGATTGTAAGAAGCAGACATGGACTCCGAGCGTAACAGAACCGTTAGAGAAACACACGAGCTCCAAAACGTGGAACTGAAACCCACGCCCTTGAATTCCACCTGCACTCTTAGTCCGAACCGTTCCGTAATGTTCTGGAACAAAAGTGTTTAGGGTTTAGGGTTTAGGGTTTAGGGGTTTAGGGTTTAGGGTTTAGGGTTTAGGGTTGTGCTCTCCCTTCTGCTGGGTACTGGTCCTTGGCTGGTATCGCAGAAAGTTCCGTTGCCCAAAGAGCGGCCTATATTGACCTAACCTCCCCAGGCCCAAAAAGTCCTAAGCAGGATTCCCCAATTCCCCAAAAGCCGAACCCCACCCGAGCATCACGCTGATTTCCCGCAATCATCTCAGGTGCGGCATAGCCTGAGGCTCTATTCTGCGAAGGACGAAGTCGCACCGGTGTAGGCTTTGGTAGGGTGTACCAGCAAATAAGCTGTTTGTATCGTCTAGGGTATGTCAGGCCATGGTTGTGTTGTGTTTAGAGTGAGGCTGAACTCTCGGGGTTTGCAAGGTTCTGGCTCTGCACTAGGGATTCAAACAGCGGCCCCAAAAAAGCAAGAAAAGAAACCCACCCGAGATTCATTGAAGGGGTTTAGTAGTGCTGGGCAAGACGGAAGCAGCTGCACTTCTCTGCTGCAGGTCCAAATAATGGCTCAAGATCCACTAAACCCTAGACCCTAAACCCCTGAACCTAAACCTGGACAAACATGCGGGGAAGCATACGGCCTCCTATCACAAGGTGGTCGGGTGTAGGTCTTCGGGCGATATGGCGTTCAGCGACTTTTGAGAGATTTCGTTAGGTATCCGACCATGTATATAGAACTTCTACCGGAACCCTAAAACCCTAAACCCTAAGCCCTAAACCCTAAACCCTAAACCCTAAACCCTAAACCCTAAACCCTAAAATCCTAAACCCTAAGCCATGACTTCAGGCCCAGGGCCTAGCGAGTGAGGCAAGCTGGGTTCAAGGTTCGGAGGAACCCTAAGTTACCAGGGTTTAGGGTTTAGGGTTTAGGGTTTTGGGGTTGTCTGTGGGAACATGAACGCCAGATACTGCAAACGAGAGACCAGAAGGAGGTACTGTTGATGATATACATCCTGCGGTACCTTGAAGACCCTAAACGATGGGAACTATGTCATATTCCTTCTTATGGGTAACGCAGGATTTATAACATAAACCGTACTACTTACTACCGACTATGCCAGTCTCCGAGATCAAACACCAAACTCTGAGACAGCGGCATGGGGAGCCACAAGCTGTTTGCAAGAGCTGCCCATCCTTGCAGGGTTTAGGGTTTAGGGCTTGGGGCACATCACTTCATGCAGGCCGCGGATTACTTTCGGCCGGCATTTGAGAGCCGGAGTTGCAATGTCCCTATTGAAAGGTTCCTTGCTCAGACAGAACTCTACAGTACCTTCAACCCAGAAACTTAACCCTAAGGGTCCAAGTACCTAATAATCAAAAACTCTTCTATGCTAACCTACAAAACTACGATCCGCAACCCAAGTACATGATTTTTAGGTCCTTTGGACCCTTAGAGTAATACATCAAACCGTCAGCCTCGCACCTTACGCCCTGAAGCTTGATCTGTCAAAAGCCCTACCCTTGAAAGTAAACACTAAATCTTTGTAGGCACAGTTCTGGAGTCTGGGAGGGGGTAGGATTGAGCATGTAGAATATAGTTTTATGGCGGTTTCGAAAGCTAGGGGTCCGTTTTTCATTGGGTCGCTCATTTTAGCTGATACCCTGCATCTCATCTGCTGCAAGGAGTCTGGGAGTTGCGACTTCCGATAGTCGGTTTAGGGTTTAGGGGTTTAGGGTTTAGGGGTTTAGAGATTAAGGTTTAGGGTTTAGGGGCTTTGGGGTTTAGGGGTTTAGAGATTAAGGTTTAGAGTTTAGGGGTTTAGAGTTTAGGGTTTAGGGTCTAAGGTTTAGGATTGCTCCTAGGAGCAGAAAAGACTAGATCACCAAGTACCGTTCCAGACCGCACGCCAACCAAATGCACCAAGAGCCTCAAGGAAGCAATTATCTCAACCCGAGAATCCTAAGTCCTAATCCTAATACCCTATCCTCAACCCGAAACCCTAAACCCTAAACTCTGCGCCAGCTATTTAACGAAGTCCCAAGCGACTCCTGAAAAGCCCACCTTTGAGATGGGGGGTAGGTGAGGACACCATACGAATGAGCCCACAAACCCCAAGGTACTTTGGAGATGGTAGAATGTAGGGTTTCTATATTCGGAATATTTCTTATGATTTGGGAAAGTATCCCCGTAACAGTACCTAGGACCCTTTGGGAAAGTTCTAGCTGTTGATACTTTTTGTAGGGTTGGTTTGCTTCTTGATAACGTATGCTCACGATCTCTGCAGGGATACCCTATAGGCCCTGTAGACCCTGAACCCTTATAACCCCTGTACTACTTCCCCTAAACCCTAAACCCTAAACCCAAAACCAACCCCTTGTGGGTCCTGGAAGGTGTTACTCAAACCGAAGTCAACGATCTTGATGCACTCACGCTCGTCGAGAAGCCTAGGCTTTGATTCAGGCATCGGGGTTTCAGGGTTCAAGGTTTCCGTTTTGGGTTAGGGTTTAGGGTTTAGGGTTTAGGGCATTGGGGTTTCAGGGTTCAGCGTTTAGGGTTGCAGGGAAAAAGGTTTCCTTTTGGTTCAAGGATTCAATGGCAGAATACAGGGTTTCCAGTTGGTTTTAGGATTCAATGGCAGAATACAGGGGTCCGAACCCTAAACCCTAAACCTGAAACACTTACGTAGTCGCCCACAATGCTGTTCCTAAGCCCCTAAATCCGGTTCTGAGTCTAAGGCCTCCAGACTGGAGTTTAGGGTCTGGGGGTTGTGGGTTTCGGATTTAAGAGGTTTAGGGTTTAGGGGTTTAGGGGTTTAGGGTTTAGGGGTTTAGGGTTTCGGACTGAAGACTTCCCCGCAAAAGTCCTCCCAGAACCTGAAATCCAACTAAACCCCAGAACAAGATGTAAAAAAGTACCGTGGGCCTGCAGGTCTTGGGAATTGTTCAGGGCCCTGGGATGTTCGTAGACTTCGTTCCAAAAGCTCAGAAGCCAAGGAACGCATGTGGCGGCTTACTGTCTTGGGAGCCTTCTAGTGAATGCGCTCTAGCGGTCCATGTGCCCATACAGTAATACAGGGGCCTTAATAATTAGAATAGGGTTTTGGGGTATATGATAGGATGTTTATAATAAGGGGCCCCCCCAAATAGCATTCTTCTTCTTCTGATGGACTGCAGAGCTCCGAAAAGCGCGTCCTAAATTCGAGAACATGCAAAGGTGAAACGTGGTCGCTGGTCCCAAAATCGGCTAGCGGTATTACGCCTGCCCTCTGTGGACTTCGCAGCGACATAGTTCTCTACTGACAAGACAAAGGCCGGATCCGGGTGATAGAGACGCCCAAGAACATCGAGGGTGATGTCATCCCCTATCTCGGCAGCAATCTCATGTGCCGTCAAAGCGGGTGGCCCGTAGGATTGCATAGCAGTGTCGACAGCGGAGAACTGTTGCCAGTTGCCTTTGCGGAGCCCCTTCTTGGCGAGTTTGAAGGGAGCTTCCACTTCCGCAAGCTCGGCGCGGGTAAGCGGCGGCAGGAGCCACGCGGTGCGGAGGAGACAATCACCATGCTGTTTAAGATGGTATTGCAACCTTTCAACTGACCCAAAATGCTTCAGGCAGGCCTGGCAAGTCGAGGAGTGCGCCAAAAGCCTGGTTGGTGTGATTTCATCGTGGGCCCGAGCCAGGTGCACCCACAGGTGCTTCCGCATCGGAAACGTGGCGAAACAATGGTGGCAGACAAAGGGTCTGTCCGCTGAGGCCTCTGGTTCCTCGATCGCGGAAGGGGAAGGTGATGGAGTTTGCCCTTGGGCTTTCCACCATCGGAGATCTGAATCCCATACCTTACAAGCCTGCTTCAACTGCTGTAGTGAGCGGGGGGGCTTA